AGTCACACTAGAATCCCGCTTGGACCCCCTTGGCTACGGGCCTGGGTTTAGAATGACAATAACCTAGGGTTATCTTACTTTGCTTAACCACATTCCATCAAATCATCCAAAAAAGTGAAAAGCAAGTCAGCATATTTCTCCTGGGTCTGCCTATTGTAGTGCGGATGCTGTTGCAATGACCTTTAATTCACCTCGTACGGCTGCCTGACACCGAGACAACCCCAGACTGGAGTGCATTAGCATATTGTGCTTTTCAGTTCAAAGTATTCTGGAAATGCTTTGAAATCGCATGGGCTTGTTCAGCCCCAGTCGACGCAAGACACACTGTAGTAATTAATTCAATTCCGTTCAACCGGTTACCATGCGTTAGTGTAATTGACACCAAGCCTGACAGTTGCGGCAGGTGATCTGTAACTAATTTCATTCCATTTTGTGCCCCCGTGGCTGCTGTTCCAGACAGTCATTAGGTAAATCGCGGAGCCCATTGAGTCACCAGCATCCCCACCCAAACACGTCTGTAGCTGCACTGCACTCCTCCACTGCAGGGTCAATGAGTGCAGAGGGAAACGGGGATGAATACAGAGCGGGAGGGAGCCAGAGAAATGCAGCAAAGGGAAAGACAGACGGGGAGAATAATGCAGCATAGAATAGAGGCGACAGGATTGCAGAGGGGGGACAGATGCAGCATATGGGTGGAGAAAGCAGGTGCAGAAGTATAAGAGCATTTTTTGTTGTTGTGTATTTTGTCGTTCTGTGGCAGGCAGGCAGGCAGACACACTGTCTACGTGAGTGATCAAACTCAAAGCCGGTGGCGCTGCCGGTGTCTCTCCACGTCGGTCGGTGACAGGCTTTGATTCTGACTGTCTCTGTCAGCTCTTTGTAGGAGAGCCATTTTGGGAGTTTAGTATGTTTGTTGAGCGTATGAAGAGTAACACGGGAGACTGCTAACATGTGAAGCAGTGTTAAAAGACTGGGATGTTCCTGTTCTTATAACTCCAGTGGCGTGTGGGTTGTGCTTTAGAGAGACCGGTGGGAGACTGGCAGCACATGGCAGAACAGATCTTTCATTTTCAGTCTTGTTGAATGTTAGCCGCTGTACAGAAGCCTCTGTTCTTTTCCCCTGGTGTGCTGTTGTCTCTTGGCAAAAGTTCACATGCTGACGCAGTAATTGTGCGTGTGTGTTTGTGTGTGTGTGTCACAGAGACTGACTCTGTGAGCTGAAATGACCTTCTCTCTCAGAGCAGAGGGATGGATGGGATGTGGATTGGTGTTATGCCGCTATCTGCTGGTGTTCTTTGATATAGCATAGAGTACACACCCAGAAACCCCCCTAAGAAGTGCACACATAACACTTTATTTTACAGTCCCCGTGTTATGTACTTACTATAGTATTTACAATAAATAACATGATGTAGTTTTTTGACTAAACACTCACCCTGTTGCAAGTACATGTTGTTCGTCATTATTACTCAGTAATATGTACAGTCTAACAAGGACACTGAAATAAAACATATCCTGTTTTTGTATTCTTATTGGTGTTAAAATCACCCGCTTCAAATGTTATCACTTGATTGAATATGCGTTATCAGTGGTTATCAGCTGATAGATATGGGCCAGCAGGGGCCTTCTGCGCCTGCTATTACCCATGTGGATGGATGATAGCAGTCTTCTGAGCCTACCAGTAGGCGCAGAAGGCCCCTACTGAGCCATATCTATCAGCTGATAACCGCTGATAACGCATGTTCTTTCGAGTGATAACATTCAAATCGACTGGCAAAACTTTAAAAAAGTGCATTTTTAAATATGATTACTGTTATTATTGTTATGACTGGCAACACATTAATACAGGGGAAAAAACACACACAAAAATGCAGTGTTCCACACAATTCCTTCATGTTGTCCCAACACAAATTGATTAAGTTAACTTAACACTTTTAACAAATTTATGTGGATTGAACATAAAAAAGTTAAGGTGTCTCAATGAAATCTCAAGAATTGTGTTGTTTCAGCTCATTTGAAATGAGTTGTTTGAACGAGCAAAAAAATTATAATTGTTTTTGAGTGCAGCTCATCCATCATTGACTACAAACGTGGTAATAGTTTACTTTTAAAAGGAATGAATAAAACGGGTTATTCTGAGCAGATTAATGGACTGTCCTTGTAGATTTCATTTTCTTTTTATGTTGAACAAGATGCCTGCTGTTTACTGTACTTGCACTAAAAACTGTCTTTTTTTACTCTGAACCATGGCCAACAATTTGTGCTGAAAATATCTATCCTAAAAAATTGTGAAAAAATTGTGAAATAAGTACTATAATATACTACTACTAAATGCTTTCAATAAAAGCTAATCAAGCTCTTATTAGGTATACTAGAAAACTCCTGGCAGGTGTGTTAAAGCAAGTTGGAGCTAAACTCAGCAGGACACTGGCCCTCCAGGACTGAGTTTGGACACCCTAGTACTAAGCTAAGGGAATTTGAATGAATGCATAATAAAAATAATACAGTTTATTATCATTAATATAACTTAAAATAACTACATTTAAAGTTAGCATTAAATTCTTCTAATATCTGTTTAATTAGTTGAATATTAAATAATATGCCAATACATAATATAATAACAACCACTTATTACACAGCTACTTCTGTTGTAAAAAATTATAGATACAAATACTGTATTAATTTAAGCCTAAATATTTTATTTTCTCACTTCACCAAATCAGCATATTTATATTGGATGGACATTTAAGGGCTTTTTAACACCTTATTGAATAGCTGTTCAGTGTATAAATACCAATTTTGAAACTTTGAGCCAAGCACAGAGTTTTACTAAAGAAAAAAGGCTCCTTGCAAGCACATAGTGCTGACTTACCTGGATTAACAAGTGTAATCAGTTTGTACTGTTTTTAATAAGGGGAAAAGTACCTACTTAATGGTGTAATCGGCCATTCAGAATCAAGTAGAATCAGAATCTTTATTGTCATTTTACAAAATGCAATAAAAATGTACGTTTGCTCTTCCCTTCAGTGCAGTCCAATTTGTCTAAAACAACAACGATAGCAAGAGATAAAAGGTAAAAAGGCAACAATAATTATAAACGTGGTAACAATAAAATGTTAGTGCATATAAAGTTGCAAGTGCATTTTCTAGCAGCTTTTAAGTTTAAAATTGAGTACAATGTTAGCCAGAAAGGCATACAATTTAATGTCCATGCGTATAGAGTATTTCATGTAACAATATAAATAGAATACTGAAACTACACTGATGACTCTCAGTGCATCTCTCAGTTTTGGCAGCCAGATGGTGTAGTTACACCCTCTACCATGCTAACCAGCCAACTCAGCTTACTCTCTCAGATATAAAGGTAGAAAGACTGTACCGGGGCAGAACAATTTTAAAAGGTATGTGTTTGTACCTAAAGAGTGCATATTAGTACCCATATTGTACAATGGTGGCGACATATTTGGCATATTTATGATGCTCTAGTTGTTGTTGTTTTTTGTTTTTTTGTATAATTATTTTTTTTCTGGGTTTTCACCTTAATTGGAAAGGAAAGTAGAGAGAACTGACAGGAAAGCATGAGGAGCAGAGAGAGGGAAAGAATCGGCATAGCAAACTCAGGTTGCCATGAGCACCTGAGTGCATGTGTCGACGCCATAATCACTACACACTGGCGCCAATGCAGTTTTTTTTTTTTTTTTTTTAATTGTACATGGTTTGGAAACCCACGGTTTTAAAACCTCTAAAATTTTCTATTATACCTTTCCTGCAGTGTATGTATTTTTGTTTTTACATGTTGTGAAATATTATTTCATTTATTATTGTTTAGGGCAACAGTATCTCCAGTAGCAAAGGTCTGTCCACACTAAAAGCTACTGGTCAGCACACGATTCAGAAAATATTTTAAAAACAAATTACTTATTCACCTACAGTGCATGTAAGCATGCTATGGACCTGTGCAATTTTGTGTTCAATGAGGAAAATTTTTTATTTTTTTTTATACCCAGACATTTAAATAGAACTTACTTTAGAGTTGTAATCATAACATTGTGATACTGTGAAACTGATTTTTTATCCAAGGTTATCATACCGTAAGTATCTTAAACTACCCCATGCCTTCTGTTAATAATTGTACAACCAAAGACCAGTCATAAGGAGATTTACTGTGAGACATTTTCCAAGCTAGGCTCTTGTCACTGTTCAGTTCAATCCAAGTTTATTTGGATAGTGCTTTTCACAATAAGTATTGTTGCAAAGCAGCTTCACAAGAGGAGCACATCATTACATTACAGTCAAAATCAGAAGTTTAAAGAGTTGTGTTTAGGCAGTTATACAGTATACACCATTTTGAGGGATGTAAACGAAAAAACGGTCCCACCGTATTTTCTGTTTTACATTTTTAATTTCTGTAGCTTCCAAGAATCCAAAAAGAGCCACATGTTAATAAATAATGTTATGATTGAATTGCCTCTTGTTAGAGTTATGAAATAGTTTGATAAAAAGCATGAAATGTTCATGGGTCAATGACATGACCACATTGAAATGGTCTACGGCGATGTCTATGTGTATAATACATGTTCAATGATGTGCATTAAGTGTTTGTTGTCTTCAAAGTTCTTGGATGCATGGCATAATTCCTCATAGAGTTGGCATTAATGTTCAAGTTCTCAGGAAATGTACTGTGCCAGAAAAATGTGATGTTGTAATTGCTGCAAATGTTGACATACCAAAATATTACAGTTCACATTTTAACAAGTATGACTCTCTTTATCTTCATTTGCAACCATCTGTTTGTTTCATGAACATTATGTGAAATCATGTTTTGGAGGACAAAAAGGTCAACGTTTTCAGATCTGTCAGGTGCTCTAATAATTAGAGCTACAACTGTAAAAGGTAGTGTATTTCTAGAAGTGTGTCTTATTGTAAAGCAAACAATCACCTTTCACTTCTAAAATCTTTTTTTTTCTCTTTCCTTTCCACCATAATGTCTCCCCCTATAGATCCACGCTCTATCGCAGGTTCAGTCTCAGGCTCCGTGCAGTCCGTCTCTGAGCCGGCAGCAGCAGTACCAGCATCAGCAGCAGGTCCAGCTTCAGTTCCAGCAGTTGGCTCAGCTGGCGGCGCAGGCACAGGTGCCTATCAGTGGGGGCTCAGCCGGCTCCTCCGCAGCCCCGGCCCAGCGTGATGGCAAACTCCTGGAAGTGATTGAACGAAAGCGCTGCCTATGTAAGGAGATTAAGGCTCATCGCCGGCCAGATAAGAGCTTATGTAAGCAGGACAGTATGCCTATTTTACCCAGCTGGAGGAGGACGCCGGAGCCCCGCAAGACAGGAACGCCGCCCTGCCAGAGGCCACAGGCTGTGGTGTGGGACACTGCTATCTGACCGAGGCATATAGAGCAAAACAGAGGGTAGGGAGTGAAAAAGATATAACTGAGAAAGACAGAAATCTTTTCGTTTTCTTTTTCTTTCTTTTTTATTGCATGGGAAAGACAAATGGGAGTTTTGGGGGGAATTAGAGAAGTGGCCTTTGAGTGAAGAGATTTAAGAAAGACAAAGCCGGAGCGTTTTGCTGAGAGAATAAAATGATATAGACAAAATCTCTCCGGAGAAGCGGGAGGAAATGTCCACACAGTGTTTATGTGCCATATAAAAGCAGCAGCCGAACACACACACACACATTGGAGAGCCGTCTGAGTCTGAACTCTCCCTGACCTGCTGCGAATATAACCTCTGCTGCTGAGTTTACAACCTTTTTTGAAACACACTGGAAACCTTTGGAGCATCGTGGCGGTCGTACTCTGAATATAAACCGTTAGAGAGGAGAATAGACTTGCTTTTTCCTTCTATGGATCACAGAATTGATCATAACTCGATGTGTGAAGATTGAAGAGATGCTGAAAGATCATAGCGGGGCTTTTCTTCATATCATAAACTCTCTTTGACTTTGGCTTGTGCGTTTTTACTGACCAGATTTACTCCGTTATGCTGCTGTTTCCTGGGCATCCACTAGACTGACGATTTTTTTTTTTTACTTTCCAGAAGAGAGAGAGAGTATGTGTGTAAGTGTGTGTGCGTGCGTGTGTGCGTGATTGGGTATGTGCGCGGGTGTGTGTGTGTGTGTGTCATGGTGAACTTTGTAGATGTATCTTTGCATTAGAGGTTTGTGAGGTTGGATGCAGAGCGGAGACAACGAGTCAATAAAACACAAAATCTGACATGTACACACATAAAAGTCAAACCTTCACTTACGCGGCCAGACACATGATGGAGGGGTGTGTGGTACTGTCGTAGTTTGTAGAAGAGATCCATTTGAGGTCTAATTACTGCCTATTGATTGAGTGCCAATTTGCTGAGTGTGACGACACGTGTGTGTCTGCATGTCTGGGGAGCAGAAGAAAAGCAGTTCAGCAGAAGTTATGTGACTTTTGAAGCAATATTTCTTAAATCAGGACACTGATCCCTAGGCCCAGTCCAATACAAATCCATGATGAAAAAAGCTTGGATAGATTTGTATCGCATTTTTAATCAAGGATAAATAGAGCTGCACGATTAATTGTGTGGAAATTACAAACTCAGTTCAAGCATCCAAGCAATCATTTTCTAAATAAACTTTAGACAAGTATAATCACAGCAGACATTCAGATCTCTGTTGAGTCTCCCACGGTATTGCTTTTTTTTGTGTTACAAAAGCTAATTTAAATTTAACAGAAGTACTGGGATAATAGCCAGTTCAGATATAAACAATGACTGACGTCTACAGTAATAAAAACAGAGTAAAAATATTATTTTTAAAGTCTGTTTAAGTAAGTAATTGGGTTCATTTTTAACAATCTAGATGTAAAGTCTAAAGTGAATGGTGCAAAGGCATTAAAGGCGTGTCCAAATCCACTTTTGCTATTTTAAGGACGAAAAATACGCTCTGGGGCCTCGGCTCATGGTGTAACAGTGTTGTGTTTATTCTCTTAATGAGTTCTAGGTTTGTTTTAAGCATAACGTGCATTAAACCAATCAGAGACTCATCTCACATTCCCTTGTAAAAGTCAGTTGTATTGCACCATGGTGCATTTGCTATTTACATGACGACTTTGTAAGTGGAAAAAGTGAATGCTTCACTAGCGAAAAAACAGTTCAGGCCCGTGCACACCGAGACACTTTTTGTTCGCGTTTTCTGACGATGTTTCATGCCAATGCGCCAATGTGATCATGCACACCAACGTGCAAAACAGCAGGCACAAAAGCATCATTTAAAAAAAAAAAAAAAAAGCCTCATGCTTGTTTTTTTTTTTTTTTTTTTTTTTCCTTCTCCAATCAGATTGGCACTTTTTTGCACGTGCACGGAACTGATGAAGTTACAGTAAACAGCACTTGGAGGCGCTCAAGCTCAAGATGCCCGGAGGCAATATGACCGTGGAGCTGCTTATTGCTCTGTGAATAATAATCATTTCTTCATCGCTTGAGCTGGAGCTGCTACTTGAACCATCCATGCTTGTTCAAGTCACCAGTTACTTTAATAACAAGCGGGTGAACTTCCTCTCTTCCTCTTCTTCTGTGTTATAAGCGGGGTGTCAGAAGCTTAAAGTTGTGTAGCACCATCTAACGTCAAGGAGTGATTTTCCATACTCTTCTTGACGCCAGTGAAAATCGCTTGGGTTTGAATCCGGAAAAACGTCTCGTAAAACGCTGACGGTAAACACAAACGAAAAGCGTCCCGGTGTGCATGAGCCTTTAGACAGACCTTCTGCATGAGGATAAAGAACAAGCCTCCTTCATTCGGCCTCTTTACTTTTTCTTTACTTTACTTTACTTTTACTCTTTACTCCTTTACTTGGATAAGGAAGCTGTGTTGTATGCACTCCACTTAAGACATCCATTAGCCTACATATTTAATTTTGTTTAAGCACAAAGATTTGTTTCAAAACTGTTTCTAAATTCACTTCTAATCTCCAGCAAATGAATAAATTAACAATAATAATGAAGTGTGATCAAAAAAACCACACGTGTGGTTAAATCCACATGTCCTACTCTTATGTCCCATGTGGTGATGCATACGTCTCCAAAACCAGACAGGTGATAATTATTATACAATAAATAATAATAATATTATTATAAAATTAAAAATTGGCATGAATAAAGTGATACCCCCCTGAGATGAGGCATGAAGGAAGTGATTTTTATATTTATGTAGAAAATAATAATTTTTGTAACATTTTAATCCTTTAATTTTTTCATATGTGAATATATTTGTGTATTTCTGTACATGCTGTGTATATTAGGCAATGTGAACCCACTCAGGCGCATAACTAACGTGCTCTGCACTGGACTTTAAACCTGCTTTAAGTTGGTCCATGGCGCGGCCTATTTCAGTTCTTCAAAATAGCAACGCACCAACGATGCACTTTAACACAGCTCTATTTTAGACCAGCACACCCATGAGTCCACAAAGTGGTGCATTTTCTATTTAAACAAGATGGCGCAAAATATGAAAATTACGGTTGCGCTGGTTCGAAAATATCAACAAATCATGCCAAACACGTTTTGCGCCTTATTGCGCCAGATGTATGATTGAGCCCATTGAATCTTTTACTCAGTTGAAAAAAAGCCTGCACCGGGTTTTTTTCTGCAGAACCTTTTGCACATGTCCTGTTATTTTTGTTAAATATTATGTTTCATAATGATGGGAGAAATGTGACTGCTCAAAAAGAAAAATGTGTTTCTCAATTTATCCGAAATCGTGCAGCTCTATATTTAAACTAAATGTGTAGCACCCCAGTAATTACAGAATAAGCGTCATTACCAATATAATCATTGGAAAGACAGAGAGGGACCAATGCATGAGCTGCATTAACATGAGGGTTCCATACTTGCGCATCTGTTTACATTGAATCGGAGCATTTCTGGGGTTATGTCCAACTGCGTTTTGCAGTGCTTTTGGCAGCAAAGTCTCATATGTCAATCAAATGGTGTTACCATGGTATTTAATAAGAAATGTCTAGTCATAATAATGTCAACAAAAAACAAACAAACAAACACTGTCCAGCGCTCATACACTCATGCATTTACACAAACACACACACACCATGACAAAATGAACAAATAGCAGCACTCCTCAGATCGATGCTAAAACTTTCCGCACAAACGAAAGCGAACCACAAGACATTGAGATTAAACGAGGACAAAATATAAAAACAGAACACACACACAAGTGTTAAAATCTGTAAAATAAATATGTACAACTGTATTGATTATGTAGCAATTATTTCCACTTTCATACTTGTAATCAATAAATATATTGTAGCATATAATGTATAAAAGTACAAGGTGTTTAACTGTTTTATAAAGAAATTTAGTAGTTTTATCTGTGGCTACCTGTCTACACACTGTACTGAATGGACCGCTGAAATGCGAGCCCTCTCTACTAAAGGCACCAACACACTCAAACAAACACACAGCAATGTTTCTTTCCCGGCTAGTGTCATGCAAGTCCCTTTAAGCAACTTAAGTCTGATCACCCTCACAAACACACTCCACCCGGCTCGTTGGAATATCAGTTGGATATTTTTGAAGTACTTTTGCTGCTATCTTGATCTTGAACTACTATTGTTGCGTACATATCCCTCACTGCTTTTATATAATTTCCTTTGAGTGCTTTATGAGTTCATTTTTTTATTTTGTATATCAAGCGATGGAGTTTTGAGGAGCGGATCCTTTTGTAACTATTGGCAATTGAATGTTTCTCAGTTGTTGTCGTGGTTGTATTTAAAAGTTGTTGTTATTTTTTTTCCAAATAGTTAGCAGCACCAACCTGTACAGTTCTCACTCTGGCAGCACTACTGTAAACGTTATCTTATTGCGGTGAGGTTGCCAAGGGTTTGACACGCTGTCACTAGTGCACCAGGGTTTTTCACTGCACCACCCAGGTGGCCATTCGAGATACAGTCTTTATCAACAGTACGAAGGACCACAGTAGACGAGGGCTGGTGCAATGCATGCTGGGAGTTCTTGACGGATTTCCTTAAAAATTCAGTTCGAGGTTGGGCTGCGTCCCAGTCTATATAAATTGTGCCCAGTTTGTACTTCAGATATACTAAATAATCATCTAGTGGCAATTTATTAAGATGAAAAGGGTAACTTAAGTATTATTGGGTAAACTAGTTTACAGAAACTGTCGGCTTTGCGTGTCTACATAAACGGTGGCCATATTATGAGTGCCATAATATATTGGTATGGTAAGATACGGTGTACCTTGGAAATCACTGTAGTGCTATATTTGCATTGATATCGTCATGAAATAAATTTTATATGATGAACAGAACATCACGTGTGTCTGTGTGTGGTTCTGATATTAGACACTGTGTACCTTCACAGATAGTAATGTCTGCAATGTTTCATAATAGGGACAGTTTTTGCATACATAAAGGTCCCGTGAAGTGCTTTGAAATATGCATTTTTATTCGATGTCCGACGTAATTTCATCCAAAAAAACTGGGTGGGGCATAGAATAGCTCCTCCCCTTTTAAGAAAAAAAGACAATGGCATTTTGCATCACACTTTATTTTGATGGTCCATTTGTTGAATTTAAGTTACATTGCATCTACATGCAAACTAATACTAATTAGATTATAAGTAGACTGTTAGGTTTGGGTTAGGGTTAGGGCAGGGGTGACCAACCCTGCAGGAGCAGTATCAACATATATTAAGCAGACAGTCTACTAATACTCATATGGACCATCAAAATAAAGTGTTACCTTGTTTTGTTTTCATCACTGATCTGTCAGTAAGAGTGGTTGAGCTCAAGTGCATCAAATGAAAAGCAAATGAAAAGTATCTTGAATGGGGGTTGGGCTTGTCAGAAACTAGAGAGCATTTAATTAGTCAAGATTTGATGAGAAACTGAAGAATGAGGTGACATGAAAAAAATTGTTGCTCCGTTTAGTCCGAAGTGACAAACCACAGGCTTTAAATGTTTACAAAAGCAAAGTTTTGGAGCACACTAGCCTATAGATATTTTAAAAACTAACAATACTGATACTAACATCTTTTAAAAAATCCTTTAATTTCATGGGACATTTAAATGTTTTTATGTGTAGTTTCTGTAAGGGTTACAGGGGTAGAAATTTATTTGTACAGTAGAAGAAATATGATGTCCATCGAAAGTCCTCATTTAACATGGAAAAATCCAACATGGGTGTGCATGTGTGCGTGTTTGTTTATTTGGTTTAAGATAACATTGAGTTATCTATTTACATGGGTATGAATTGATGTACACCAAGGGTGCTCAACACTGTTCCTGGAGATCTACCTTGCTTCAGATGTTAGCTCCAACCTTTATCAACACAACTAAACTTAGCACTCCACCTTAGTGGGATCTGAAGGAGCACTCGATCGTTAATGGTGCTCCATTTAAGTTTTTGGCTGTTCTAAAGAATAAAAATGCCATAATATTTTTGCAGATATTTAAGAAACATGGCAAGTGAACATACTTGTTTATCTGAAAAATAATGCTAAAGTCAGATATTCTAATTTCATTTCATTTATTCAGTCAGAAATGTATTAAACCTCTTTAACATTAGCCCCTTTCACACAGTGATACCTGTAAATATCCGTAAAATTCCCGGAATGACTTTTTCCGGTAGATTCAAAAAAGTCCTGTTCACATGGACCATTCACACATCGATTTCAAAAATATGGTAAATTGTGACATCATTAACCAGAAATGAGCTCTAAATGGCTGTTCTTGTATTTATAAACATAGAAGGGGTCAGCCTTTTGTTGATGGTTGATAGTACATAACACGTGCACATGCGTCAAGCAACTGAAGCGGAGGTTGAAGGTTTATCAGTTTATTATAAGCATTTTATCGATAGTTTTTTCACAGTTGGCATTAAGAAGGAACATGGAGACGATATCTGACTAACATCTAGCTGCTAAATGTGTCTGGAAAAATGAACAGCACGGATGTAAAGGCGTCTCACATCAGCGCATTCTAAGCGTGAACGTGCTTCGTGCAGCAATTTTCCTTCTGCGTTCACACAGCGAAGCATTCCTGCAAATTACCGGTAATGTTACAACTTCTCTTTCCAGAGAATTTACCGGATTGACTTTACTGGTATTTTCAAAAAGAACAATTTTATTGTTCAGATCTGAGGTAAACTATCTGCTGCTGCTTTCAGTATTATAACAATAAATGTTACATAAAATGGCATTCAAACTCATTCAAAACATTTTTTCCATGTAACACTGAATAAAGCGCATGAGGTGTACCTGAGATGAACATTGTCAGTTTATCCTGTTGTTCAGCTGCAAGAAATAGAACTTAATATTTATAATATATCAATCTGAGGTGTTGGTTAGGACAAAACTCCTTAATGAAAAATATTTCTTCTATCGTATGCCATTGCTTGAATTTAGAACAAAATCAGTGTTTAGGCTCGATAGTCAGACTTGATCGGTCTTGTTGGTCCTACTCAATCTGGCAACCTGCACTTGTGTTTGTTTTGATCCAGAAATGCAATACCTAGTTCAACCACTGGGTGCCAAACTTACATACTGCAGCTTTAAAGGGCCTTGAAACCCCCTCGTTTCAGCAGGGTGTTTTCACACCTCTACTTTGGAAAAAGTCAGAAAAGTGGGCGTGTCCAGCTCTGTTTAGGGGGGAGTGTCGGAGGAACTAAAGTGGGATGGTGTGGGAGTGTCTATTTGTGCACGCGCGAGTTTCAGAGTCAAAATACACACCCACAGCGGACAATGTGACTGTGTTTACATGGACATCTGTAGTCGAATAATTTGCCAAATTATTAAAAGTTGGACTTTAACTGCAGTTTGGCTCTTTCATTCAGGGAATTCATTCATGCCTCTCGCGACAAACGAGATATTTGATACAAGGAACTGATCTAAGCGTGTATTTTTCATGCAATGTTTTATACCGCACGGCGAATGAGAGAGCAAAAACTCTGCATTTCCCGGAAACTTAGATGCACTCAGCAGGTAGCATCAGAAAGCCGCGTGTGTTACTCCGGTCACAAAATGCGGTGCTAACATTTCTGCACTCAGTGCAATAGTAACTTAATTCGATACGAACAAACTGAATAAACAAAGAGCACTGGTCGCTCACTTACCAAATCTGTAGAGACAGGACAATCACCAGCAACTAGAGCCGCGTCTTTATGGAGAGAATACTACAAGCGAATTCAGATTTCAGCGTTTGCAGATGAGAACAGCTCTCAGGTAAACAATAATCCTCAAACACGTAAGTTATTGTTGTCGAGCGTCGCGTACACTGTTAATCCACACGTGAGACTGAGCTCTCACAGAAAGAAAATGAAAACGAAACTTAACGGCAGCAAACTATAAAAGCAACACTTTACGCTTGTTTTGCCAACACAACGTGGTGTCTTTGTGGCGTAAACACGGTGACACTAATGAATATTAATGAAGTTGCACAATAGAGCACGCTGATTGGTTTGAACCAAGCCTTACTCATGCATTAATGTATCACACTGTAAGACGTAATAAGACACACTCTCGCACAGACGTCCAGTCTGCACGCTGGAATAGACGCTATTATGTCATGGCCGTGACGCAGCTTCAAAAATTCGTTTCAAACAGGAAGTACAAATTTGCTTGAAATAACGCAAAAACATCCAATTTACACTTTTTAGTGAAATATAGGTGTCCTAATAGTGTTTTTAGCAGTGTGGGACACATATACGACTGTCAACAGCTCAAAAAATGTGTTTTGGTGTTTCGTGACCCTTTAAAGACAGGAGGCTTTGATCAAGGTTCCAGCTGAACTCTGCTGGAAGGATCTCCCGGAATGGGGTTGAGCATCACTGGTGTACACTATAAAGATTGTTTACGATGACATTCTTTGTGTCCTGGTAATTCAAAACGTTTAAAAATCTTTCTTAATGAGGTCTTTTAACATTGACATTTTGCCAAAAATTTGGTGGTAGGCATACAGTACAGCTAAATAATAAGCGTTTTTAACAGTATAAAATACATTATGTATATACACCTATGGTAAACCATAAGCATGTGTGTGTGTGTGTGTGTGTGCGTGTGCGTGTGTGTGTGTGTGTGTGTGTGTGTTAGGAAGTGAAAGAAACTGTTGCAACTAACTTGGATTTAATGTCATCTTGTACCGCAAACCACTCTGGATATTGAATACCTGCTGTCCCAGTCTGATGTGGTAAGGCTTTTATTCATTTATTCACTCTCTCTTCATCCTGACCTTCTAGGCTTGTTGTTTCAGCATCCAGTTTCACATGTCAGCATCATGAATGCTGGGAGCTGCACGAACACAGATCGTTGCAGAAATGTGTTAACTGATTTGCTCTATGCTGATGTCCTAAATGCAGTTTCCTCTTTCTAGGGTATTGCCGGCTCTACTGTCTTCAATTTTGATACAGATATTGTTTTGGCTGTTTTTGATTCAACAGATGTTTCGAATAATATCACTCAGCTGATTTATTGACAGATCTACATTGAATGTGAGTGCTAAGTGACAGATTTAGGCTTTCACTTCAGAAGTGCTGGATTACAGTTTGCTGTTTTAGGCATCAGGGAAATAAAGTAGCCTATAAAGTTACCAAGATAAAAAGATTGCTTGGCCACTTTCCAATTTTATTTCACTTAATTAGGACAATTGGTACTGCTTAATTCTGCTCTGGAAAATGTAGATGTGTTTAGAACTAAAAGAACAAAAACTCCCTTAAAATGTATGCTTGATAATCAAAGTGACTCAGCAATGGTGTTAATGCTAGATTTGCCAAATTACAAACATCCCACAAACATATAAACAACTTAAAACTTTTGATCTGGACACCAGATTTAATATATACAGTTGAGGTCAGAATTATTAGCCCCGCATTAAAATTAAAAAAGGATGCAATTCTGACTTCAACTATATATATATATATATATATATATATATATATATATATATTGTTTTATAATAGAAAATCTTCTAAAATGCTATTAATAAAATATTGACAAGAACAACAACAGTTAATGAATGTATTAATGAAAGCCATGTCAGTGAAGTACCCCTTCAGTTGTTCAGTTCTTGACATTAGGACATTAGGTTATTGAGCTTGAGCAAATCAATGGTGGTGTAAATACGACTGGCAAACAGCCAAACCATTTACCTATATTAATACCCCAGCATTAAAACTGTAATGCTTGAAAGGAAGATTGCAGAAATAAAACACAACATCAATGCTTCTTGAAAATCAATGTGGCCATGATAGAGATGATGTGCCAACATTCATTGTTCTTTAGTAGTTGTACCTGCAAACATATGTGCGAGTATGTTTTTCACAATCATAATCTATCAGATTCTTACATGTTCTGTTTCTCTCTAAATACTTTTTTATTATTATGGTTGATCAGACTAACTGGGATGTGGACCTTTACCCCTTTTTGTTTTTTGCTGTTTTGTTTTTGGTTTATTCAATGGCTTCGATTCTTATTATTTTGCGTCACTTTGGATAAAAGCATCTAAATGGTTAAATGTAGATGATCTAAGTTTTTTTACAGAGCATCCATCTGATCATGCGGGAGTCTCCCACTGGGAGTCTCTGCACGGAACAGCCCAAACATGCTGAGAGGAGTTTTCCCAGACCGACTGGAGGCTTCTCAGTGCAGGGCGCGCTGTCTCCTTGACAGCGGCCGCATGAGGTACTGACAGACGCACACGCGTCTTTTCCAAGACAGGCTTGCGATTTGTCGTTTTACTGGGGGGCGGGGCTAAGAGTGCCGCATAGCGCTGCTATTGGCCAAAGAAGTCACTTGAGTTTTGCAGAAGGAGGGCTATGTGTTTAGGGGTGGGGGTGAGCAGGCAGAGCTTGTTTTGCTGCAGTGTCTTTACATTATTGCTGCACTGGTCTCTCTCTCTCTCTCTCTCTCCCTCTCTCTCTGCGGAATGCGCACTGCACTGGCGGGTGAGCAGAGATTCGGGCGTTACAGTGGGATCGAGATCTTCTCTCACTCAGTCCTCGCTTGACTGCTCAGGTTTAGGCAGAGTGCCTTCGGAATCAATCTTAAGCAGTCTTTCATTTAAAAAAACTTTCTGTAGAGCCACAAAAGATCGTTTAACCCTTTCCACACAGTATTTAAGGCTTGAATAGCTCTTTATTACTCTCAAAGAGAGTGCTAGCCCCGAGGAGTTGTCTCTGTGAGCGCACATTTAGTCCAGGAAAATGGCCAAGGATGACAAGAACGGCTGGAAGGAGTTCTTCTGGAACCCGAGGACCCGCGAGTTCTGCGGGAGGACCGCGAGCAGTTGGGGTAAGACTAGCTAACACTGACTAACAGGATGCCAATTAGTATCACATATTGGTAAATTATATATATATATATACACTGATGAGCTGCAGTCGTTAGTACTTCTGTGTGAGTGCAGAGAAGTTACAGTGAAGAAGATCGCTGTCCGCGGTGCTGAAACTCCAGTTGCCGGTTACCGGCTCTATGCGTCGCATGCGTTTCTGTTCGTCGCCTGTTTTAGCTGTAAAACTTTATACAAAACCATTCGAGTGTGTTTATATCAGTCAACTGACGCAAATTTACCTCAGCTGTAACTGTGATCACTAATTGCTCGGTTTTGCTGGTGTTTGCAGATAAAATGTTGAATGTGCTTCTTGAGCCAATGAACAGCGTGGAGAAATGCAGTGTCGAGTCACTGCACAACTCCACAATGCGCTTCAGGCACAGTGCCTAAATACAGGCTTGTAGCAGTATTACCCTGTAATAGTCATTCTATCTGCAAAGGAAAGTAGAACATCTGCTCTAAACTAAAACCATTCTATATATGCTCAAATAAAGTAGAATTAAAACAACAAAACAATCAGGCTGACAAAATCAAAAGCATGCTTTTTTATTTATAATTTATTTAACAACTGTTTTTGGTTGGTTACATGCACACATTTTAACTTTTCTTTGTGCATTGAAGAAATAACTCCATGCTCATTATATTTGTTTGTTTTGTGTTTTGTTTTGCATACAAATATGTGTACAGAGGAGCTGGACGGTGTATATTATCGCTTTAAGCTATGTTTATTGCACTGTTTCACAATTTTTTTTTTTTTACCTGAGCAGCCTTCACATTTGCTAGAGGCCAAGTCTTTTGGACCTTAAGCCTCATTGTGCCACCTGTATCATTATAGGTAATTTTTTATCACAACAAACTAATTTCAATACCTCAAATATATTGTATGTGAACAGAATTATAATTTAATGACTTCAAGTAACAGTAAAACCTGCAATCATCATTTCTAAAGAAGTGCTTACATCATGAATAATCTGCCTTCAGTAGTGAAAATGACCTTTCCAACAACAAGTGCCGCATAAAAGAACTTTAGCCCAGAGTACATATTGTTGCGTTCTGTCTTTTACAGTGACATTGAGATGATTTAATCTAGCCAAGGGCCATTTTAAGTGTGTGTGTGTGTGTGTGTGTGTGTGTGTGTGTGTGTGTAAGGGGGTTTTGTGAATTAGTGTAAGATGTAATCCTTTACTAATAGGCTCATTGGTTGCCTTGGTGAAGCTGTCATGTGGAGACGCAGCCTATTCAAGGACCGTAGATTAATTCTGTAACCGAATGTGTCTTTTAATCAGGGTGTGATGGCATTAGCATCTACGGCACTCCAGAACTGCCCCTCAGGCATCTATAACTCAGCTGTCAATGCTCTGGGAGTCTGTGTGTTTGAGTGGGGAAAAAAATGCTAGATCACTGCCTTGAATTAAATGTATGCCAGCACATTTTGCTCTAGGGAGTTCTGTGTGTGGCACCTCACTTCGAGTGCACGCGAACCTCACTTCGTGTGTGTGTGTGTGTGTGTGTATATGTATGTGTGTGTGTGATGCTCTGAGGACTAGCTGCCTAGTTAAGCCAGCATGCTCTCTAAGACTCCTTAATTAGTCTATTTTTGTCTGTGCCCAAACCAAAGTGAACCTGGGTTTGCTTAGATTCTTTAACAAAGTACATCCTCATTACTGGGGCTTAATAGTGACCTATGCAGCGTGGAGGAAGCTGCAGGTACATGCATACAGCTGTGCCTCATAACCAATCACATCCTAGGTTGCTTTCAGGACTTGTTAAGGCACACAAGAGTCAATACCTTCAGATAAAAGCTCTGAAAGCTGATCTCACCACAGCCCTTTGGAGAGTCAATAAAACCTGTGTTCCATCTTGCTGTAAAACATGGCTTTTGCAAAGGTCTTAACTGAATCTCCAAACTCCTTCAGAAACTTTACAGCTCATACCACAGCATACAGTTGCAGAAGATCCAGGGGCTTCCTGGAAATTAACCACGTAAAAAATATCTCATCAAAAGTTGCTTTAGATCCAAAAGCAATTGGTGTTTTCCCTTTCACAGAATAATTCCTAAAATAACCTTTTTTTTCTCAATGTGAATGTTTTTTTTTTTCCTATTATGCTTTTGTGGCAGTAGATGCATGCCAAAAGTTCACAAGAGTCACATCCAAAAATGACTTTTGCTGCTTGTTCAAAGTACTTATTTAAAATGAGCTGAGTCAGCACAATTCTTGAGTTTTTTTTGGCACAACTTAATTGTTTTATATTCAATCAACTTAAATCTGCAAAAACTCATTCATTCATTCATTTTGTTTTTCCACTTAGTTTCTTTTATTAATCTGGGGTCGCCACAGTGGAATGAACCACCAACTTATCCAGCATATGTTTTATGCAGAGGAAGCCCTTACAGCTGCAATCCATCACTTTTTTAAAAAAGTACTTTGAACAAGCAGCAGAAATATTTAAAATGAGTGAGAAGCTCATACAGGGTCATGTTAAGCCCATTATCTTGAATTTTAGGGAGATATGATTGCATTGTACATGCTTCATCACACAGTGAGCTGTTTTCTTGGCTTGTGTTCATCCCCAATCAACTATTAATTGCAAGCTGAACTACAGAGGTCGTAATGGGGCATTCTGGGTGTTTTAACTCCCTTAAAGTGTTTGTTTGTTTTTTTCTTCTTAACTAATTAATCTGATTAGCACATTAAATTGTAAAATCCATAATATTACTCTAATATTACTCTTTTCAAGGTATTGAGCTCTTTTTTGTTCACTGCAGTGTACAGGGTTGCCATGTACAACTGCAAAGATTGAAATTAATTCATATATACTAAGTATATACAGAAGTCCAGAGAGCAATGGAATACAATATTATCTATCAATTCAATTCATCTTTATTTCTACAGCGCTTTTACAATGTAGATTGTGTCAAGCAGCTTCCCATAGATGATTATAGTGGATTGAAACAGTGTCAGTCCAGTTTCCAGAGTTTACGTTCAGTTCAGTTTAGTTCAGTGTGCTTTAAATTTCACTGCTGAGATTCGAAACACTAGAGAGCAAATCCATCTGTGCGCAGCTCTACAAGTCTCGAACCATGCAAGCCAGTGGCGACAGAAGGGAGGAAAAAAACTTCACCAATTGGTGAAAGTGAAGGATAAAAAACCTTAAGAGAAATCAGGCTCAGTTGAGCACGACCATTTCTCCTATGAAGTTATTGGGGGCCTCCTATCTGAATCTATACACCATCAAACCATGTTTATTGGTAACCTAATGAATTTAGGACAATACAGTCAGATAAATCATCTTTCAATTACATTAATTAATTGAGATCAAATGGATTGGGTTAGGTGATACGGTGGCTCAGTGGTTAGCCCTGTTGCCTCAAAGGAAAAATGTCGCTGGAGTCTCAGCTGGGTGAGTTGGCATTTCTGTGTGGAATTAACATGTTCTCCCCATATTCACGTGGGTTTTCTCCGGGTGCTCCGGTTACCTCTTCAGTCCATAGACATGCTCTATACCAGTGGTCACCAAACTTGTTCCTGGAGGGCCGGTGTCCTTCAGGTTTTAGCTCCAACCCTAATCAAACACACCTGAACAAGCTAATCAATGTCTTACTAGGCATACTTGAAACATCCAGGCAGATGTGTTGAGGCAAGTTGGAGCTAAACCCTGAAGGGACACTGGCCCTCCTGGACCGAGATTGGTGACCCCTGCACTATACTGTAGGAAGTTGGATGAACTAAATTGGACACAGTATATAAGTTTGTGTGTGTGTGTGTGTGTGTGTGTGTGTGTGTGTGTGTGTGTGTGTGTGTGTGTGTGTGTGTGTGTGTGTGTGTGTGTGTGTGTGTGTGTGTGGAAGGGCATCCGCTGCATAAAACATATGCCGTAATAGTTGGTGGTTCATTTCACTGTGGCAACCCCTGATAATCAGTGACTAAGCCGAAGAACAATGAATGAATGAATCGATGGATTGGGTTAATAGTTTTTAGTCTACATTTACTAACTCTTTCGGTTTTCAGATTTATCCCCAATTAAATTTGTTGCAAACGTAAGGACTGCCAAATACAAAATTCATAACAGAAACATTATAGAATACATAGTTCAATACATACATGCAGAATTAAAAAAAAAAAAAAAAGGAAATGCGTTCATCACCTGCAACACTATCATTTCATGCCCCAACCTCAGGAGATAAACAGGTAAGGGAATCAAAGAATGTTTGTACCTATGCAGGTTTATTTAGTTGGAACCCTATAACATCTACCCGAGTGAAGCAGATTGTAATTTGAGTACAAGACATGAGAGGGATCTGCAATTATATTTTCATTGCATGATTAACTATAGTCTTTTCTGAGAATTAGGAGGCATATACTCCCTCACCCCCATCACTGTCATTGCTGTATGAACCAGTCTATTTATGTCTGATTTCAATCAAACAAATCAAGCTACTATTCCATATCTTAAAACACTCTATACAACATCAGTACGCTCTGTCCAACCAAACACCCGGAGTCTATGCAGGAAACTAAGACGCCTTTGAATCTCTAATTTGAACAAGAAATTTGACACCCAATTTATGTGCATTTATTACAAAGTTACCGTCAGAACAGGAAATTGATGTTGTGAGGTAATATGGGAGTAAGCGCTGTCTTTGTCTGCATCAAAGCTGTGTGTGCATGTGTTTTCTCTGAAGTGTTTGATAGGTGGTCCGGCAGGTTTGGTGGATTTCTGAACTGAAAGAGATCTAAAGAGATGGGGTTCATGTCTGTATTAATGGAGGTGAACATGCAAATGACAGATCACAGCAGCACATTCTGTTTCTCTCTTTCAGTCTCTGTGCAGATTTGAGGGTTGAAAGAGAGAGGCTGACTTTCATCATGGTGAGAGACAGATAAAGAAACAGAAGAGCACTGATAGTGTATCACTCTCACCCACACACACACACACACACACAGATACAGAGAACGTG